TGCGGCAGAAGCAGCGTGAATCCTGTCGAGCAGTACACCACTTATTCTTTTATTGATTTTTGCGGTTTTGTACAAGTCAATTACCTCCAGAAAAATGTTTGTTATATCCTTGAACAGAGGCAAGAATTTATCAATAGGGATGATCACAACACCGGCTAATTCTATTACACCATGAACAGTATCTAAGACATTTGTTGTTAGACAGGAAAGATCGGAACATTCTTCTAACACCTCAATTATTTTTCTATCTTCTTCTTCCTCCTTTTCCGAGGTGTATTCCGACATGATTAGTGCTTTTAAGAGAAGAAACTCTGGTTTACTAATAATCCAAAAAAATATTTAGCGCATAAAATACGGTTGCATGGCGCTTACTCTAACCGGTTAGATTGATCACACTATTAGAACCATAGATGCATTCCCCTTATTATATTGCACAAATCTTGTATTGCACACAGCGAAAATTGCATGTAAATACAGCATATCCATATACTGCATCATAGAGGAAAGTCATAGATCGGATAGAATTCACGGTATATCTATTATATACTGTGTATACATTATCTATCTCAAAATCCATTACTGTTTTCTCTCTGCGTTATATTTAACATTCAGTTCTATCGATTTGATATGGCCTATTGACTTTCCATTAATCGCATAATATTCAGTTATTTATTATTTCAATAGACTGTAAAATTCTTGTAACTTGATCTCTTGATATTTTCAATATACAGTATATACTGTAATTAATTATCATAATAAGAATTTAAATTAACAATGTGTTTATATGCATCTACATAAAATATAGATGTATTTTTTTTTAATCATAAGAATTTAGATAATGGTAGTAAACCAAATTATGTATCTGAAGAAAGATAAATGTAAAGAAAACATAAATGTAAAAAAAAACATAAATAGTTAACACTATATTTCCTATTCATTGTTCAGGCTATACGGTATACTGTACCGACACACATTCTACAGTACTGTTGTTCCAAAAAATGGGCGTATACCGAATTTGCTCAAGTGATTACAAGACGTGTTGACTATGCATAATAATTACCATATCGATATGATATTAAAGATGTTTGTATATGGTTATATTAAGATCATTTGTAAGTATATAAGGTTTAAGAATTGTAAGATACGATATACTGTATTCTAATATACGGATGAGAATGTGGATTCAAACATACGACATCGTTTCATCGTTCTTTGGATTGTTGTTGAATGTTTTTTATCGTGAAATCAGGGTACAAGGATTAGACAATGTTCCAAAAGAAGGACCTGTCATCTTTGTCGCAGCACCACACGCAAATATGGTATATCTTATGATGTTTAACATCTTGCATGGTAGGTAATGATTAACCAACCCCCCTATTTTTTTTTTTTACGATAGTTTGTTGATGGAGCAATCTTCACAAAATATTGTCCACGAGAAGTTTCTCTCGTGATGGCGAAAAAGGCCACAACGTTCAAGTATGCCGGTCCCTTAATCCGAGGAATGCATGCAAGTATGTAGCATAATGTCCACGATTCTCACAATGCACGATTAAAACTTGTTTCTATTATTCAGTTACATTGGAAAGACCAGTAGATTTTGCTGAAATAGGCAAAGGAAGCATTAAACTGGATCAATATAAAGATCATGTGAATGGTATAGGCACGGAATTCACAAAGCAATTAAAAGTGGGGGGTCAAATCGCTTTACCAGATGATTACGGATCATCGGAGATATTGGAAATATTATCGGATACGGAATTAGTGATCAAAGAGGAATTCAAAGGTTTCAAGGCTTTAGAAATGTTGACGCAACCCAACGGAACGCCTTATGCATACTTACCGCGTGTTGATCAAAGTCCCCTTTATAAGAGAACGATTGAGGTGCTGAGTGCTGGAAAATGTATCGGAGTGCTTCCGGAGGGTAGGAGTCACGATCGGGCCGAACTCTTACCTTTGAAAGGTTTTCATCATCATACTGTTAGCATTGAGCAAGCCTGTTGATAATATGCGTGTGCCCCGTGAATCGTCTTAATAACAAAAATTTTATATTATTATATAGCGGGTATGGCTATTGTTGCTTTGAGTGCCATGGCAGAAAATTCCAATCAAGATATCAAGATTGTGCCATGTGGTTTGTTGAAAATGTCACGCCGACTTCAATTGGTAACAAATGTCACACTGATTCCTCTCTTCCATAGGCTTGAATTATTCCTGTGCGCATAAATTCCGTTCGCGTGCTGTTGTTTTATTCGGTTCGTCTATTTCAATTCCACCTGAATTGGTAGAAAAATACCGTAATAAGGGTCAGGATAGAAAACAAGCATGTGGAAAGTTGCTAGAAATCATTTATGATGGATTGAAATCGGTGACGGTTACCGCCCCAGACTATGAAACGTTGACGGTACAATTTAGTAATTATCGATTTGAGCATTTGATCATGTTGGCGATTAAAATTTTATCTTGTAGGTCATTCGAACAGCTCGTAGTTTATATAGGAATTTTCATGGATCCGGAATTCACGAAGAATTGAAATTAGATCAACGGTTCATTGATGGTTACATGAAATGTAAAGATGATCCGTATGTTCAGGCAATGCACAGGGAAATAACGGAGTATATTCGATTATTGAAACATTATGGATTAGATGATCGCCAAGTTCATCAGATTTCCAGTAGAGGATTTAGAACGTTGGCTTTGTTGCTATGCCAAATTATAATCTTGGTCTTGTGTTTTATTTTGAGTCTCCCTGGTAAGTTGCAATTGAGTTTAAATAAAAAAACCTTCGTCTTCAGTATCGGTTCTGATGATTTTTCATCGTCGTACTGTATTATGGTTGAAAATGGAAATGCGCATTAATTAAGGGTTAATATTAAACCTTCCTCTAATTATGGACACACATTTTGTTAGCTCCAAGAAAGCAGGTTTGTTCAACAAAAATTCGATAATACATCCATGTAGTTTTCATGTTTCGATCATTGTTTTTCTTTAGAGGTTGCCAGGAAATCGTGCGTCATGATCGCGGGACACCATGTCGTGGCAACATGGAAAATTCTCACTTCCTTTAGGGACATACCAATTTTATATGGACTTTACACATTCATAATACTATTATTAGCTCACCAATATCATTGGAATTTTATTCTAAATTCTGGAATATTTGCTCCCATTAACGTTCTTATAATTTTACTCGCGTATAATTATTACGTGTTGATTCGATTATTTGATATGGGATTTGATTTGTATAGGTATGATCTCAAATTAAATAGTTTGTACTACCATACATATTTTTTTAAAAAAATGAATGCTCTGCGCAGATCACTCTTACCCCTCGTCATATCATTCACTTCACCACAATCATCAATTCAGCATCTTCAACAAATTCGTGATAAACTTTCGAATGATGTGACTGGCCTCGTCAATGAGCTAAAAACAAAAAACATGTGTTAAATGGTTCGTCGGTAAAGTAATTAATTAAAATTCGAGTTTATTATTATACTGTATATGCTGTAGTACATGTTTTTTTTGGTATGCTTATTAATTTTGTCGAATAAAATATGCTTAACTTTTAATATCTAGAGAGTTGCATGCAGTATATGTAAGTTTAAAATTAAATAAACAAAATATTCCTGTATTGCATATAGCATAACAGCGAATATGATAACAGTGACTGAATAAGAGAAATATTTCCCCACAAACGATCTTCCTTCCACATTCGGCTGAAGCGTTGTGTTGTTTTTTGCATTTACATTTACATTATTGTTATCCTGTTTTTCCTCGGTAATACGTGCATTTTCATAGGTCGAGTTGACCTTGACCCGATTTTCCGAGATTGTATCTCCCAAAAGATGATTTGTTACGCATTCTCCAAATTGCATTACCAACAAACCATCTTCGTCTAGTATATATTTTATAGAGCCGTTGACGTAGACATGATCACCTGTGCATTTAACAATGATTACAATGATTAGAAATGATTGCTGTATAGTAGTAGTATTGTGGTAACTAATTTGGTACATTACCCGAATCAGTTCTATTTCTCTTGGGTAAAATATCAGAGTCACCGGATAAATTTCCGAAGATATGCGACGAAAGGTTTTCGGATGAGTGATTATTGATTCGTGCATCATCTGAAAATATATCGTTTCCCAGCTCGGGCGTTGTCCATTTGCCTCGGTAGATACTTTCAAGTTGACCTTCAAAGAAATTGAATAATTCCCGCGCTTTTGGCCTCAAGGAAGGATCATTATGCAAACATCTTTCCATTATTTCCTCATATTCCGGAGGTAGCCCAGGAACGCCTTGTGGGCGGAGACCTCCGCAAATTCTCTCAAGGAAAATGCTGGCTGATCTGCTAATTTCGTTCGTATACTCTTCGTAAGGAACACGACCAGTTGTTACCTGCCATATTATCATCCCGATACTATATATATCTGACGCCTGTGTGACTTCTTTATTACGTATCACTTCCGGGGATACGTATCGAGGCTCTCCATAGAACTCATTTGACTCTTGCACTGCTGGCCTACAAAATCCAAGATCACCTATGTACCAATTCTTGGAATTGCTCCCTTGGAGGATGTTTCCCGGATGGAGATCACCATGAATTAGGCCTGCCTTGTCTTCATGGATCTTCATGATAGAATATGTAATGTCGTATATGATTTCAATTTTCTCTTCCCAATGAAGCGAGGAATTACTTTCTTCCATAAATTTGCGCAAGTCTTTGGTCATATATTCTAGGACGAGCATAAAATTTCCGGTTTCCACGTTCCTTGTCAATCCATAACATTTGACAACCGAATTTGTTTTCATCATGAAATTTAGATGTGATTGGATCTAAAACGATGAAAGAATTAAAAAAAAAACCTTCCATCACTTGCAACATGGTTATATATATTTGGGGCAAGTAACTTACCTCACGGAACCATCTGTGATCTGAACCTGGTAAACTATCCAACGTCTTAAGGGCAACACTTTTCTTCTTTGTTCTCCCGAGTTGTTGTTTATCAGCATCCCACTCATCAAATCGACCGCCAAACCAAGTCGCTTTGTAGACTTCGGCCCAACCGCCTTTACCTAGAAATGCAAAATCTCCAAGGTTTTCGTAAGGGATCCATTCGACAATATAATCCGGCCTCAGTGCAATGCTTTGACAATTTTGAATTAATACGTCAACATCACCATTTCCTGATGTCCATTCTGTAAAATTCTGCACCAGATAATTTCGAATGCAATGTTCACAGTTTTTCTTAGCAAAGGTCATTTTATAGCATTTTATACATTTTCGCTTTATTCCGCTCTCGTTGGAAATATTATTTTCGTCCTCCCACTTCTCCATCCAATTCTTAAAAAACACTTTTTGCTCATTCCTCAGATTCAACTTTTCATCGATGATTTTGTAGACCTTTTCCAAACGATTATCTTGGTCCTTAAACTCTCGATCAACTTTAAGGTTCATACGCAATGCAACCCTGTTGAGCAGAGGATTTGTGAAATCGTAACGAATCTCGTTCTCGCTATCCATGAAATTTTTCTCGAATGTGACGTTGATAAAAGGTCTGGATCGATTTTTGTTTTAAGACGCTAATGGTGAACGAAGCAGAGATGATTATTGCAGGCGTAACAAAACATCTTTAAATAAAGTTTGGCTGGTAATCTTTGTGACCTCTATATCAAAGTTAATAATACTCAGTTCAGTCGCGTGATCGAGTCGTATTGAAGGCGTAGCAAAAGTTAAACTATCAAGTTCCGTACCCAGTGGGAGTTTTACCCATCAACCAGACATATCGGGAAAACCGTATGGGATCAATGTATTCATTGTACATGTTGAAGGTGCACTCTATATGGAACGAATCAAAGAACCTGAAACATGACCCCCTCAGACGTAACATTAATCGGGATTTGTGTTTGTTTGCATGACCACATGTTTATTGTACTAAAATTAATGCGGTACGTTCCAACGTCTCTTTCATAGTCATTATTTCTCAAAATGATCCATTGGGCGCCATCTTAAATTTCAAATTCTCCTGTTTTCAACGTATCTTCCAGAGGGCATTCGATAATTGGTGTCTTTATTTATTCAATTTCCGGAAACCATTCAATCTGTCAAAATATGGTTATAGTAACTCTAAATTGTCACGTGATCATGGTATCGCGAAATTTCGAAATTTCCATCTCGTAAGTAGATGTAACGTTAAACGTGCGTGTTTGTTCACAAGATGATCTATGATCTGGGAGCTAACTCACGGTGTCATGACATTGGGATCCTGATTATGTAGTCAATGTCTCAAAAGGCGTTGATAGGCGAGACAAAAATGTCGAACGGATGTGACCCGTGACCGATGTCTATGTGCTGAATGTTAATTAACATTCAGCGTTAGTTCTTACTCAATATTTCTCAAGGTGATTCGTGGACATCGTAAATTTTCGAAATTATTCCTTTTTAGATGATAACATCAATATGTCAATTTTTTTTTTCAAAAATGTCCCGGAAGCACACTTTAAATGCAATGTCCCGGACTGCATTGTCCATTCTGTTTGTTGCACTAAGATAATATTTGTACATTTAATTTGTTCTAGAAATTCATTGGGTATCACAACTTGAATAGAAATTTCGATTAGACATTCTATTCTCCCAAGAATGCCGATGAGATAATGATTAAACTACCGAATATACAGTACCCGTATTCACTTGCCAAATGGTTAACTCATCAATTCATTATTCATTGGATTCTACAGAAGAGAACTCAAATGAACGTGGAAGTTCCATCAACCTTCCCGCAAATTAAGTCTAACACTGTAATGTTTTAAAATAAAAATATCCGTTTTCCAAATACTGTAATCATTTAATTGTATTGATGCAAAAGATTCATTGACATGAAATAAACAAACTCGGATAAACTGTGTATGATATACTGACCTCGGCTTTTGTCCGCCATCATTGCCAATTTTCATTTTATCCATGAATGTATGTACACAATCTCATTGAGGTCTATTGTAATGTTTTTTACCAAGATCATTAATGTTTTTAATTTTTATGTACGCATATTCGTACATACAATATCGGTTTATAACAAAATCATTTGTTTGCTATTTATAAAATTAGATGTTTTGTTTTTTTTTTTATTCTCGAAATTTTATAATTAAAGTATCACCTGAAAAAACGAATAATCGCATTACCGTATGTCGAATACAGTACAGTATGAGAAAAACCAAACCACATTGCAAACAAACGGTAAACGATTATCTTTTAATTTTGGTGATTTTTTACTTGTGTGTAATTAATGAATTTTTAATATTTTACAAATCCACATTTTATCGATATACACAGTATATGCTTACTTATTTAATACTCGATTCGTTGATAAAAATCTGATGTTTCCACATACACTATATCAAGTAAAGATAAACTAAATATCATTGTTTGATTTCACAATGAAAATACTGTAAATAAAACACGTGATCCATGAAATACCGTATTTTCGGGATAATAAGTACGTACTTATTTTCAGAATTAGTAAAGCTTGGAGATGGAGGATACTTATTTTCAAGGGGTACTTATTTTTAACTTCAATTTAAGTGTAAGCTACAGAAAAATCTGTTCTCTTTTTTGATTGGTTGTCTATGTTATCACATGATATTGTTAAAGCTTTTTGTTTTTGCGAATCGCTGATCTTGTCTGCAACATTTTGATAATCCATCTTATCACAAAACTATTTTGGAAGTTTCTTTTTAAGTCTTCATCCATGTAGGCCTACGAAAAGAAAGAAAGTTTACCTTAGATTGTCCGTCCTAGGCATGATGTGGAAAAACTACCTCTCAAAAATATTATTTTCTTTAAGTGCTCTGTCCGTGTGAGCCATCAAGAAAAGACCACTTGGAAAAAGAAACAAAGTTCGT